TCTCTCTAAACAAGATAAAAGCATAATAATGGTTTTAATAGTGCCATTTGTATCAAACCTTGACTTTCCCTTATTTCTTTGAGTTGTAACTCCTTTTGAAATAAAGAAAGGCAATAACTCTTTAAAAAGGGAAACTATCATTATGGACTTTATTTTCAACTTTTATTTTTTCATTGATCTAAAGTTGCAAAATCTATCTTACTACATAAAAATTCAATCTATTATACATAAAAATTTACCCCCTAAACATATTTTATTTATTTTTTATTATTTTTTTTTACCCAAAAAAATTTAGAAAAGGCATTGTTTTTAAACCCCTCTCTCTCTCTTGACATGATTCCCTTTCTCTCTCCCCCGATCAACCTCCCAAACCCACGCTAACTTTCAAACATGATTCACAATCAGGTATACTCTGAAGCACAGGCCTCCAACCCCTGTGTTTATCACCATTTGTGTTCATGAGCTGCTCGATCATCTGACCAACAGACATGCCATGAAGCTCCATCTTTCCCAGGAGCTCCTCAAGTCGTTTCTTATTGATCCTTATCTTCACTTCTTTAGAGTCCCCACCATCTTCTCTCTAGAACCCATTTTGCTCTCTCTCTCTCTACCCAAACACATACTCTCTCTCTATTGAAACCCCAAACTCTCAGTAAACGTATTTCGCTCACTCTCACAATAACCCCAAATACAGCTTCCAAAAGGACCCAAGTTGCCTCATTTTCTCTCTCTACCATAGGGGACGTGATATGTTCCACTCCCAGCTCAAACAAAATTTATATCTGAAAATCTCTCCCTTTCAGACCGAACCACACCCATTTTCAACAAGAGGGAAACTCCATCAGTGGCTTCTTTTTGTGTTTCTCTCTTAACAAGATGGGCTTTTTTTTTGTATTTCTCTCTCTACAAATACTTTCTTTCTCCAAAAACCTCTGTGATAGGGATGAGGATTAAGAAATGATGAGGTGGGCTTGTTTTATATTTGGAGAGAGAGAGAAGATGGCGGGAGAAGGGACTGTTTTTTGTATTTCTCTCTCTAAAAATACTTTCTCTCTCTAAAAGCCTATGTGATAGGGATGAGGATTAAGAACATAGTTTCAAAAAGCGCTGGGCAGGTCTCATAAGACCTGGGGGGTCCAGGCCGTTCAGAGCCTAGGCGGGCACCCAGAACCTGGGCGGCCCAGTTGAATCCAAATAAGGATTATGGCGGCAGGTCTCCTAAGACCTGGGGGGTCCAAGCCGTTCAGAGCCTAGGCGGGCACCCAGAACCTGGGCGGCCCAGTTGAATCCAAATAAGGATTATGGCATTCTGCAGTTATGTTAGTATCAGTTATATATATTACAATACATAATTCAAATTGTACTACATATTATTTAGCATTTAGCAATCATTCCATAAGCATAACCATAATCCATAAGTTGGTTCATACTCCATATTAAAACTTAAAATTTTCCAACCAACCAAATTATCAAACCAAGTTATAAAATAGTATCACACCAGTACTGCAGTACACCACCATGAGGAAGAAAACAAAACTAAATTATAAAACTATGAAAGTAATACTTGAAGACTCAAAAGAATCTTCAATAGTTCAATAGTCGATACACGATATCTCAATCAAAGTTCAAACTTCAAAGTTTAATAATTATTCAACAATCAAAGTTCATCAATCATTATTCATTGATCATCAGAAAATCTTGGATCAGTTGCATTGACATCATATTCATCGAAGTCGTCACTTTCTTCAACATATTGGTCGTCTCTATCCTCCACTGTCTCTTCTGAATCAGCCTCTTCTTCTTCCTCTTCCTCCATCGTTGTTTTCTGTGCAGAAGATCTAGTGGCCTTAGAAGGGCCAGCTGATGTTCCTGAAGTATCCATGGCCATGTCCCATGTAATCCTTAAGAACTCGATAAAGATGAACTTAAGAATATTATTAATACCTGGTCCAGTTTTGGTCATTTGCCTCATCGTCATTGGAGTCCCAAAAGACTTTAATGAACACTTGTAATTTATTAGCTAATCAGCGCATATAATATCCTACATTTCAAGATCAGGGACTAGCACCTCTACACACTCATTAAATCCATTCATAATTGTGTCATTTGTTTGTATATCCTTGTAAAAAATAAACAAAGATGGGTTAAAAAAACAACCAGTTACATGCAATGACTGATGTAGCTGCCTATCCCATTTCTTATCAATAATCTCCCATATAGGCTTGTAGCGGGTTTTTCATCATTGAAATTTTAAGCTATCTCTCTTTTACATTTCTCCATAGCATCATATATGTAGCCCATAGAAGGCTTGTTACTATCAACCATGCGAAAGGACTTTGACAAGAGGAAAAAATACCTTAAGAGCACCCTTCACCCCTCGCCAAAAAGCCTTAGAAAGGATAATATCTCTCACCTTCTTCCCAACTTGATCCGTAAACCATTTGCATGCTCTCCACTCATCAAAGATAAACATTTGCCTTAACTGCACTCTCCTCGAATGTATGCTATCTTGACATAAGTACCATGTCACAAATCTCGTGACCCAAGGTCTCACTATCTCTTTCTTCTGTGTAAAGGTATGCATCATGCTAAGGGTGAGATGGTGGCTATAAATGAAATTTGTAACTAACTTGGAATTCTTCACTGAACTTGATAACTCGGTTAAACCGCCAAGAGCCTCAAGCATGAGGTCTATACAATGTGTTGCGCATGGTGTCCAAAAGATTCTAGGATAAGCTATGCACAACAAATTAGATGCAACAATATTATGAGCAGTATAGTTTGTGACAACCTGTACAACAAGATGCTCCCCAACCTCCTTGATTACGTTCTCTATCACTTGAAATATGTAATGAGCATCATGGATATGATCAAAGGCATCAATAGATCTAAAAAAAACAGTCCCTGCAGGACAATTTACAAGCAAATTCATTTGACTTTTTCTCTTCCTATCACTCCAACCATCAGTCATAATAGAAACCTCATATTGAGCCCATGCATCATTCTTAAGTTCTACAGCTTCCTTCGTGGCACTCATTGCTTTTTTTTAAAAAAGGTTCTGAAAGCTCAGATGGGGGCAAATTGGCCAACTACCTCTATCACAACATAGAAGCTGCTTAAGAAAGTGGTATTGAAAGGAATGCCCACCTCATAAAACCATGTAGAAAGATAATATGCAGCTCTATCTCTCTCTTCCTTCTTGATTATATTTTCAATAGTGGTCTGCTTTTTTGTATTCTTTCTTGCAACCTCAGGGTCAGGCCGAGATAAAAAACTATCCATAGGGCCTTTAACACGAGGTTTCTTAGTCCCAAAACCAGAAACAATTACAACTCCGTTCCCCTTTTCCCTAATAATGGAGTGCTCAACCTCTTGATATCTCTCCCCGATCCTTTCCTCATGACTACCATCATCATCAAAAGTGACCCGAACCTCAGACCTAATCTCTGTTATAGAGTCAATTCTCTCATCTTTTTTCATTTTCACCACATTCAAAAAATTCATTATTTTCTTTTTAACAGCATCAAAAGTCTTTTTACATGGGGCAACATCCCCTCTAATATCGACAAGATGTTTTTTGAACCGATTTATGCCTTTTTTGTATCCTTTTCACAAAATTTGCATCTAATGCAATTTTTATTATTAGCATCTGGGTAATAACCATATTTTCAACTGGGATCACCACTCCTATTAGATCCGAAGAAGACATCTAAAAAATAATGTAAATTACTAAAGCAATAAAAACAAATCACTTACTTTGAGTTTGATTGCTCAATCTTCAAACTTCCACTTCAAAGATGCTTCTAAATACTCAAAATCTTCTAAAAAAACCCTAATAACTTTACAAAACTTCAAAAAGTAAATATAGTACCAATGAGTGATGTTTTGATCAATTTTTGTTAACTTTGAGTAACAATTCGATCCTAAAAACTTCACCACAATCTAGTTATTTGGGGCCTTTCTCTCTCTAAATTTGACTCCAACAAGTTTTAGGTTTCAAATGAATCTAAGACCTCAATTTTTGGCCCTTGAAAACAAAAAAGAAAAACGAAAAATGTCGTCACCGAATGGGTTTTCCACCTTTGGGCGAGGCGTAGGCCCTAGGCAGCTGCCTAGGGCTAGCGCTGGTTTCCGGCTTAGGAGGGTTCCGTATTACTTAAGCGCTGGGCGATCTGCTTTTTGAATCACTAATTAAGAAATGGTGAAGTGGATTCTATTTTAATATGTGGAGGGAAAGAGAAAAGAGGGCCTGAAATGATGGGAGGAAGGGACTGTTTTTTGTGTTTCTCTCTCTAAAAATGTTTTTTCTCTCTCTAAAAACCTCTGTGATAGGGATGATGATTACTCCCAAACCCACACTAACTTTCAAACTAGTTAGAGTTAGAAAAAGATGTCTTTTTAATTTGTTTGGATTAAAAGTTGGAATAAATATAGATAAAGTTATTTGGGGGTTAAAAGATAGGTTTAGAAATTTTGGGTTTAGGAAGAAATGAAAGTTTAAAATGGGATCTATGGAGATATTTTTCCCTAAATCTAATCTATTTATTGTGTTAGTAGTACTTATTTCTTATTCTAGTCTTATTTCAAATTTCAGAGGTCATATTTAATTATTATAATAACATCGAGACAGGGAAATGATGTTATAATATTAACATATTTTTACAAAATAACGAAAATACATAATGTAACAACCCCAAACTTTATCTGAAACTCAAGAAACACTACTTTTAAGGATTTTTAGTGATTTTTCAAAATTTTTGAAGCCAAACTGATCCAGATCGTCGATCCATGAATCCTGCACAATTTTTTAAGTAGCTGATCCGGGTTACATATCCGTTTTTTTAAACGTAGTAATAAACGAAAAAACGATCTCAAGATTTGTAAATTTCCCATGTTCTATTTGGACATGCATGCGATCGACTGAGTTTGCGTGCTCAATGACAAAAAAGAGCGCAGGGAACGCAGTGCCTGAATTTGAAACACCATTGGAGGCGCATAATAAATACCATGCTCCCCTGGAGCATATAATCATCTAAGTAATAGTATCACATTGATCGACTGTTAAGGCAAAGGTTTCGAGAGCAACAATCTCTGTTTCTTGCTTGCTCTGGTTCGAGGAACTGCTTCTTCGTGAGCCTTCTTTTTTAGCTTGAATTGCCACTTCTTGTAGCGATATTCTGCCAATGTGATTGATCTTACATCGTGGAAATTTGGTTTTACAGTGATCTTGATCTTCGGAAAAGTTGGTCAGGTTTGGAATTCATTTTTTCTCCATCGTCCAGTTCAAGAACTCTGAAATCATCATTAATTACTTCCCAATTTGTTTCCATCACATTTTGTAGCGTTTGCAATCATGGTTTCCGATTAGGAACTAGCTTTCGATATCTAATTGTTGCTCTTTTACTTTATGCCTGTAATTCTTGTTCTCCCTTTTTTTGACAAGAATTCTTGTTCTTTTTCTTCTGAGTAAGTTTGTTCTGGTCTGAGCGGTTTGGGATCTGGTAACTTCGTTTTATGTTTGAAGTTTTCTTGATGCATTGGTGGGTCAGTTTTCAGTTTTTGTTGCTTTGGATTTTGAAACAAGAGCCCAGAGATCAATTTCCTTTTTTTTTTGGCTTCATTCTTGTAATGGTTCCTCTACTGGACACTCAAGAGGGTGAATATTGGAGGCCTAGGTGGATCAGCAAACACTATTTTGCCTTTAAGGCTGTTTTCAAATGTGTCAACTGATTGTTCCCCAGTTATTGTTGAGCTAATGGTATTTGGTTGCCTTGATTGATTCCCCACTCCAAGATATTCACTGAATGCCGCTACTTGCCTTGAAGATCGATGCTATTTGAAATACATGACAATCTAACCTACATTGTTACTGAATATCGGTGTACTTCCATGAATCAATGATCATTTCTGAACTCCACACTGGTAATTTCTGGGCAAACGCAAGTGAATATTGAATTAATTGTCTGGGAAAGGAACCATTAATCGACAATCTGTTTATCTCTTGTTCCAAGTTTCAAGTAATCGTTTTGGCCGCAAATTTCTGGGTAATTGTAGAACCAGTGATATCATCATGGCATATACCCCACCGCATAGAAGACACACAAAGGATACAGAGAAGTCAACATCCTCATCTTCATCACTCATTCCCCAATTGGAAGAGAGTTTGAATTTTGGGATCAGGTATGCTGGTTCTTCAGGTCATTCAAGCAAGAGTCTCAAATATGACATGCCCAATGTACCCATAAAATACTCCAAGAACTCCATTTCAAGGTGGTGGGATGTTGGGATGTCGGATAACATGCGATCATCAGAATCTCCATCAGTTTCTTTGAAACCATACCCTTGTCCACCTATCGAACTAAGAACTGGTGAAAGCCCCTTGCTATTGTGGGTAAGAGTTCTCCACTTTGATATTTTGTTTTATTTCTTCGATTTGTGTGCTTATTTTCTTTGAATCCTGTTACGATTGTGTGATTGATTAGTTTAATTATTTCTCTCTTGCAGCTAAGGAAGAAAGTGGTCACGATAGGACTTTGGAACTTCGGTTACACATTGCAAAGAGGATACAACCGGACCTAGATTCTGCTTTCCTTATTGTAAAAAGCGAAATGGATTTTGGGATGTCTAAATAATTAAAGCTTTCACTGACTGCCCGCTTTGGGAAAATTCTCTTTTATGGGTAGGACTTCACTAATTGGTTTTTGTATTGGAAAATTAGTGGTTGAAATTTTTCTATTGCTTTTTTGATGTTATCATAATCTTTTCATGATTCAACTTTATTGAGAGTTAAAAAGAAAGAATTTCTGTTATGGAGAAGACTCTTAATTTTTAGTTTTTGCATTGGAATGTGGTTTATAATATGCAATGGAAAGCTTTGTTTTACTTTGAGTGAGCTTCTTCGTGGTAAGTAATTTGGTTGTATTGTCAGCTATTTGATTAGAACTATGTACATCCCTGATTTCGTTATCTTGGCTAAGCGATTGCAATGAAGCGACATTTACTCCTCATGTGTAAGGTTGATATCTTGGAATTTTAACAATAATGAGAGCAAGTAAAAAAAAACTTCTTTCTTCTAACTCTTGATAAAGTTAAATCATGAAAATATTATGAGAATCCATAAAAGTCTCCCTTAATGTTTGCTCTTTTATCCATCAAACTGGATAACCCCAATTATTTCTTGTTGAAAAATCAAGTTCTTCAAGTTTTACAAAACCAAAACATGGCTAACTGTCTTGATGAGTCACATCCTTATCCACCTGGCCAAATTGAAGATAAGTCAACTGATGAAGTTGAAACCACCACCCTTAAGCATCCCAAAGGATATCCCATGATCAGCTAGTGATTAGCTGGTTGTTTGCCTCCAATTCTCTATATATAGATACAATATTGTTGATCTACCTACTGCATAAGATGCTTGAATCACTCTTGAAGGACTCCTTGCTGAAAAATCAAAGGCTAGAAAGATGCAACTGAGCTTGAACTTCAAAATTGCAAGATAGGTTTGCTGTCTATCACATATTATTTTCATTACTCCAAGGAAATATGTGATACACTAGCAGCAATACAACGAGGTTTTAGCAATAAAGGTAAAGTATTTTACATTATCATTGTACTAGGAGAATATAAATGGAAACCTATTCTATTGAACTGTGAAAGCATGTTCATTCAAAATGCCATTTGAAGTCATCATTAACAACCAGCAGTATCAGCCTTCATTGCTTGAACTTCAAGAGCTTTATATCCATGGTGCGGTAGAGGTCATTCTCCACGCCATAGAGGCAGAGGAAATTCTTAGAGGCATTCTTCCTCAACTACACCAAACACGTGGGACTTAATACCCTGTATTAACCCCTCAATTTGAGATACATAAAAATCATGCCAATCAAGCTATTGCCCTGGCAATGGAGTCTTAGCCCAGCAGACAGAGACTAAGAGAGAGATTTTTATGATGATTTGAATCATAATGACAGAAACGATATTCAAATGGTAAATTTCATCATCAAATTATTGATGAATTCATCTCCTTCAATGGTCTCTCTCATGAGCATGGAACCTTTATGGTAGAAGAATTAAAAATGAAGGAGCTCATCCCTTTTGATGATAAAAGTCAAGATCCATGTTGTATGGATGTTATGCATGAAGAGATTAATATTGAAATGTTACATAGGAATTAGTTTTGCCTTGGGATAGGTTCTAAATGGATCTATAAAGTGAAACTCAAGCCAGATGGAAGTGGTGAAAGATCTTAAGCTTGCCTAGTGGCCCAAGGATATAACCAGGAATATGGATTAGACTATGATGAAACCTTTAATCCTGTGGCTAAATATGCCACCATAAGAATTATTCTCCCCTGGGCCATAATAGAAAAATGTTCTCCATAGGGCCTTGAAAGAGGAGCTTTTTATGATTCAATGTCCAAGATTTAAGAGCAATAAATTTCCTCATCATGTATATAAGCTAAAGAGAGCAATATATGGTTCAATAAGGCCCCAAGGGCTTGGTTTGAAGGCTTCTAAGGAGAGATGAAGGAAGATGGCTTCATCTTGTGTTATGCTGACCATTCATTGTTCATCAGTAAAAGAAAAGGTAGTATAACTCTCACACCTCTATATGTCGATTATATAATCATTACTGGAAAGGATAATGAAGAAATCATTCAGTGAAGACCAGGTTGTGAGTACTTTGAGATGAAGGATGGCGAGGTACATCAGGTGCCTGAAGATCTAGTCTTAACAAAGATATGTCTTAGAGATACTTGTAAATTTTGAGCTACTTAATTGAAAGCCAATTTGTACACCTGCTGCAGTGAATGTTAAACTTTTGTCTGATAAAAGAAAATCACTTGTAGATGCTACCAGTTATCCAAGTTTAATTGCTGAGAGTCAATAGTTGCCTTTTACAATACCGGATATAGCACTTGAAGTTAACACAGTCTGGCAACACACATAAAACACTTCGAAGCTACATCTTGATATGGATAAGAGAATTTTATTGTATATTAAGAGGTTAGTCAATATTGGCCTTCAATATGTATCTCAAGAGAATCCTAAACTCATGGGTTACACAGATGTCAATTTTGGGGGTTTTCGAAATAATACAAGGCTGGTCATCATTTTCTATGTATTCTTGGGAAAGAATTTGGTCTCATGGTGCAGTAAGAAGCAACATACTATGTCTAAGTCAAGCACAGACATTGGATATAGGGCGATATCATCCATAAACCTAATAGTTATCCAACATACTCTTTGAAATTGGAGTTCCCTTTAGAGTTCCTATAAACTATAAAGATGTACTGTTACAATTAGAGTGCAATCAAATTGTTAGATAATCCACTGAAAGATGGGAAGACTTAGACTGTGAACGGTAGATCATCATTACATAAAGGAAGAATGTTGGCATTATGGATCAAGGTGATTCATGTGCTGAATCTAATGAAAATAGCCACATTATGAACAACTCACTAAGAAGAAGTTTACTCAAGATAGAACAACTTTTCTATGTTATCATGCCAGCTTAAGGGGAGTTTGCTGAATCTAATGACAATTGCTGCATTATGACCAACTCACTAAGAAGAATTTTACTCAAGATAGAACAAACTTTCTATGTTATCATGTCAGCTTAAGGGAAGTGTTAAAGATATGAGAGTTATCTAATTCTTTCTAGTGTCTTTTGCTGTTTTTGTCTGGGCAACTCAGTCATTTTACGCTCCTCCATACCCTACATGTACTCAAGATGGTATTTAATACACATATCATTCTCCTGCTTAAAACTTTACAAGCCATGACTTGCCCATAGTTACAGACACACATATATGTGTGTACAGCCATATGCATGTGCATAACAAATATACACATGAATTTACAAATATATGTATGTGTTTCAATGGGCTGGTTTATTCATAAAAATCTAGGTATGACTTCTAACACTCCTATGGTTACTAAGATCAACATTTTGGCGAGAATGGATGGCAAAAACTATGCTTTGCAGGTTTTCCGTGTCAAAAGTTTTCTTATAGGTTCAAATCTATGGAACTATGTCGATGGCTGTTAGGTCAACCCACAACAATAAGGAATCCAATGCTTGGATTTTACGAAATCCAAAATAGTGACATATTTTTAATTCAGTTGATTTCTTATTGAAACCAATTTAACTCGATTTATCATTGGTAAGGACATGGTTGGCTTCTCTATCCTTTCATCCTTTCTCCAACGAGTAAGGGTTGGAGAACAAGCTTTTTCTAGGAAGTATTCGACTATTACAACTTCTTTGCCACGAGGAATTAATGTGGAGTGACCTTGATATGATGGAATGTTGTCTCCCAAGGAACACATCAATTATCACGTGGCAGTCAAAAAATACAATGCATTGTGCATTTCTGATTGAGAATGTGCTCAAATCTCAACTGATATTTTTTTCATTTGGTGGGCTCCTCATTTATGTGATGATTTATTTGAAAGATTGGCTAAAGAGATAAGGATTCACAACTTGGAAAACTAGGAGAATCAGTTATTTTGCCTTTTGTGGCATGAATTCTAGACGAGATGTTTCCAAACTCAAGTTCTCATTTTTTAAGTGAAATTGGCCATATTTCTCCTGATTGCAAGAGAATAGTGGGTAGTAATTTCCACAATGAAGTTGAACATGTAATTAGTCCTTTCCAAGAGCAACCTTCTATTAGGAGGCATGGAATTATATCACTTCTTATTGCCATGCTAGTTGGCTCCTATGCATCAAGTAAAAAGTGAGTCTGATTTAGGGTTTTTGAAATCCGAAATTAGTTTTGTTTTATTTGTTAATGATGAAATAAAAGGACAATATTTACTTGCATTGGATTCTTGAATGAGAATCAAATTTTTGTGTTTGTATTCTTTTATCATGCTCTATAACTAATTTTTTTCAAGTCATTAATGTATTTTTGAAGCCAAGAAGTTGTATTGTATTAGGTTCCTAAAACCAAATTATCTATGTACTGAAGTTCTGAAACTTTTGGTAACAAGAACATGTGCTTAAAGCTAAATACATATTCTCTGACATCAAAGATTTTATATGCGTAATTTTCTTAAGAGATACGCATGCTGAGTTTGCTTTTGTGACCTGGGTTTTAAGTTTTCAACAAAATGTGCATGCTGTTTTCAAGTTTTATAAACATGATGCTAATATCTATGAATCTTAGCTGTTGAAATATATCAAGGTCCATAATATGCAAAAACAGATTCATTTATAATCCTTTTTTTTTTTTGGAGGACCATTTACATGCAATTTCTTATAAAAGCTAGTGAGAAAATAAGGAATAATAATTTTTTGTGATGTCATTAAATTGTTGGGGATTTACATGTGTATTTTTTATCGGGGTTGTATACAATGAGGCTATTTATCTTTGATATAAGGTGGTCACAATTTCTGATAAAAGCTAGTAAGAAAATAGTTAGAATAATAATTTTTTGAAGTTTGAGTTTGGTCAATGGAAAAGATGCACCCACTCAATTTCACATCCAATGGCCAAGATTAATTGTGACCACCTTGAGTCTCATTCTATACTTTTCCTTTTCTATTTCATGCACACTTGTTGCTCCCCATATGTATCCTCCATAGAGCAGTATCAGAATGAGACAAGCAGTGAACAATCAAATGGTGTCCAATATGCTTTGAACTATCAAATTGCAAAAATCTGCAGTGGCATTAACTTCCAAAGAGTGATGTATTAATATCAATGTATTATCTGTTTGATGTTTTGTTTTTAATTCGATGCGTATGCAGAGGCACTTCAAGTTGGAACAATTCCATTAACCTGGACATGATCAGAAAGAGTTTAGAAGATGAGGGTGAAGCTATATACAACAATCAAGTTCATAAGACATTCTATAGAAATGTTCCTGAGGAATATGTCAAAACAATTGAATGTCAGGCCATCCCAAAGCTGGGACTTTTTGAGCTTCTCAATTGCCTTATCATTTTACAGATAGAGACAAACACGACACGACACTTGGTTATTGACATATCATGCCTTTGTAAGAATGTGGACCTTCGTTTGATTTTGGTGTCCAAGAAGATTTTGACAGAACTACTGACTGTGAGTTTTACTGTACAAATGCAGAGTGGGGAAATGATCATTGAGCTTGAATTTCCCTCATTTATATTTGTACCAATGTATGGTTTCAGGTGGAAGAAAAATCTGGCTTATATGAACTGGTGAACTCTGCAGTTTTGATCCAAATGTAAAGGGAAAACTTAGGTGGCCTCTAAAGAAAGAGGGCACTGGAGTTAGGTTCTCTATTCAAGCAGTATGGCATACAGAATCAAAGTACTTCCAGGGACCAACAACTAAGCTAAGGCTGAGACATATAAATCGATATAACTTCCAAAACTCGACTGGCGAAGTCTCCTGGGAAGTCAAGTGTCAGAATGCAAGAGATAACCAGACTCTTGATGGTGAGTCCTTCTCTTTTTCTTTTACTGATGAATGATATTCAATGTTTTGCATAATTTTGTTCTACTTATAGGGTTCTTTATGAAAATAGTTGTTGTTGTCTGGTGTCTAAACATGACCCTGTCGCCTTGTATTGTCCTCATGAGTATATTTATTCGAAGACTTATACATCAGAGGAAGATTTTTTGGAAACATCATGATATCCTTTTCATTTGTAATCAACATGCATATAAGAAAATCTTATGAACTTTTCAGAAAATCATTGAGTATTACATCTGCCAACCAGAAACCCTCTTCCACATGCTTCCAGAGATTGTGTGTATGAGTGTGTCTGAGTTTTTTGGAATGATTTTTGTTGAATATTTTTAATTAACCCTTCCACCTTCAATTGTGTGTCTGTTTTTTTTTCAATTTTCATTTTTTCATTTTTTTTTTGTTTCGGTTCCTTTGGTTTTTTTTATGCTTCCATTCAGTTTGTTTTAAGTTATTGGGTTTAATTTTCTTTTTTCCTTTTGAAATTAATTGATTATGTCACAGGATCAAATGCTGGATGGCAACAAGGTCGCGATGGAGGAACTTCAAGGAACATTAAATCCAAATGGGAAGAGTTCCTGAGTTGCTAAGCCCTGAGACAGTTAAGAGTTCTTATAGCAATCTGAATCAAGGGAATTTTCTTTCATCTTCTCTTGAGTAATCTTGAATGAGTGATGTTCATGAAGCCATTCCTGTTAAGTAATGCTTCAGATATCTCTTTTTCTGGTCTCAGCATCATAGTATGTCAGATGTCAATGTATTATATTTCTGTTCACTAAAATCGCTGTAAAGGTGGTGGCTTGGAAATTTGATGTATGATCTAAAAAACCCAGAAATGCTACATAGATGGGTGGATGGCACTCGCCCAAAGTGCGCTGCTTTACCACTTGATCTAAATGAAAGGGAAGATTATTCTATATTTTGTATAGAGAAGTGAAATGATGAAATTGTTGTATTACACTATGATGAAATGGTGAGTTGGTCAAATTTTAGCCATTGGATTCTTTTGAATCTAATAAGTAAGATTAAGACCTACTTGGCAATAAAATTAGAAAACGTCAAATCTCTGTCTTTGTGGGCCTCTATCTCTAGCTCTTCTCTCCTCATTGCTACATCTCTCGTCATCTCCACCTCTCTCTACCAGCACGCTCTCCTATCCCTTCACTCCTTTCACTCTCCGCCTCTCGTCTTCTCCTCCTGTCCTCTGTCCTCTATCTTCCTCTTCCCATCATCTCCCCAAATCCTCTCTTTCTCTCTTCTTCCCTCTCCAAGATTTCTCTCTCTTTTTTTCTCACTCATTTTCTTCCTCCATCTCTCTCATTGCTCCCAAAAAACGTGTCACCAACAAATTCTCAATACGTTTATACAAAGGCACGAGAAAATTTAGCCAGGAACAAATTCTCAACACATTTTTACTCTGCAATAGCTGACACACTCTGAGAATCAATGGGTGATAAATACAGACGAGTTTGTTTGTATCTATTTCAGGGGCTTTTGGTGTAGAAGGTGCGATTTTTCTTTAGCTTTTTTCTATTTTTGCTATTCTTTAATCAATAATATTGCAGATGGTGGGCAGTTATTCTTTAATTTCATTTGTTTTATGTAGAGATAGCATGTGATTAAAGTTCTATTATTTTATTCTAGGTTTGGGAGTTGATACTTTGCGGTGTGCATTGTTTGGTTTTTTTTTTTTCTAGACTGCTTTGTTTGAGTGTATTTTGAAGAATGAGTTGTTTTAATGGGATGAAACTATTAGTAGGTATCTTTTTTGTACAAAGACTTTGAGATTTTCAGAAACTTCAAGAGTTATTTGTATTGAATTTAAGCTAAAAACTTGCCGCACTCGAATATCATGATTTTGATAATAACTCACACTTCTAAAAAAATGCCGCACTGGAATATCATTATGAGTTATTACCAAAAATTTTTAGAAGTGTCATTTTTTAATGTTTATTGAATATTTTTGGGGTGTCTTCTTTTGAAGAATGAGTTTAATGGCATGCAACTATTAAGGGGTATATGCTTTGTGTCAAGGCTTAAAGATTTCCAAGAACTTGTACAATGTTCTTGGTGAGTTTAACCTAAAAATATTGCTGCAATGGAATTCAACAGTTATTTTTTAGCGATTTTTCATAAATATCCTGAGACATTGGTAGTTCTTGTCAAGTTTTATTTTGGATCCTTTAAAGCATATATTGGATATTTGTAAAAAAAATTGACGAATTTCTTTTATGGTCTGTGTAGAAAGTTTCTTTGTTTTATTTTCTCCCATATTGCGAAACTCTTAAATTTTTTAAGCTCCCTACTATTTTTTTGGGAATTTTTTATTGGTTAGAGATTTCTTTCTGATTGTGGCGCATACAATAGGATTCTATGAAGTTATATAGAGCTTAAGATCTCGTTATGGAAAGATTGGTTCACCCAACAGAAACAAACCTCTTTTTTATTGTGGTAAGTAGTGTGTAAAGTCCACAAGATTGCAGTATGCACACTAGAAAAATAGCAACAACAAGTAGGGTACCTAGTTTTTGGGGTTAGGATTTGTTAGAGAGAGAGAAACGTGCCTGGTTTTTTTTTGTTAGGATTTGCTTGAGAGAGAGAGGTACTTGTTTTTGGGTTAGAATTTGCTAGAGAGGGAGAGAGGGCACTTGGTTTATTGGGCTGGGATTTGCTTTCCTTTGGTTCGTGGTTCATGGTGCTTGTGCTTTATACTTTGGGTATTATAGTGCTTGTGATGGATTGGTTTTCTGCATAAAGATTTTCACATTTCCCTTCACTTTGGTATTTTTTTTAAAGCCATGTCAAGTTGATGTTCTCTTAAAACTTATTATCTCTTTCTACAACCTCTAATCTTATACGTGTTTGGAAAATTTAAAAATTGTAGAGTCCTCATGGGAATGATGTTTCCTGCACAAGTTATTATTGCATCCATATTGTCATGGATATTGACAAAGATCAGAGTCATGCCCTCACCAATAATGTTGTCAGTTACAGTGAGATGAATTCTTGGGACATTACTCTTATTGTAGGTAAGGATGAGTATACAGTTGAAGATTTGGTGGAAACTTCTCATTACGTCAACGATGATGTTAGAATGATAGAAAAATCTAGGGTAAAAGTTGTAACTGAATCTAATGAAAATTTGAAGTTTGAACTATTTGAAGAAATGGAATTTGAATCTTAGGAATATGCAAAGGAGTTCTATAATGAGTATACTAGGCGGGTAGGTTTTAGTATGCGTGCCAGTACCCTTTATTATACGCATGATGGAGTTGCAAATGCTAGAATATTTGTTTGTTCAAAACAAGGATTTTGAGAGAAGAAATATATGGACAATGAAAATCTAGTTAAAAGACCTCGTGTAATTACTCAAGAAGGGTGTAAGGCAATGATGATGGCGAAGAAAATTGATATTGGAGAATGGGTCATTAGGAGGTTTGTGAAAGATCACAACCATTTGCTAGTGAAACCCGGAGAAGTTCGATACCTACAATCACATAAGAAGACAACCAACACGGCACAACACATTTTATAGACCATAGTTACCAGTAGTGCCACCCTAGGGTGGCGCTCCCACTCCGGAATCTCGCTCCGGCGTTCCGGAGCTGAGATCTCACTCAGAACCTGTTCCGATATTTTTGGGATCTCGCTCCAATTTTTAGGATTCTCCATCCTATTCACAACGGAGCTCACTCCGGATACTTCAGGGATCTCGCTCCTTCTACTTCAAGGATCTCGCTCCCATTCACAATGGATCTCGCTCTCGCTAAAGCACGGATCTCGATCCCATACACAACAGATTTCGCTCCTTCCACTTCACGGATCTCGCTCGCATTGTCTCACAAAACACGTTCCATAACATTGTAGATGTGGTTCCTAAACACATCCCCGCTCCCAGAATTTTAAGATCGTGATCCCGAAGTTCTCAAAAAATAGATTGCACGTTGAGTTGTCGAGTGTGCCTGCGCCCATGATCCATCCGGTCTACCCTATTATACCACTAGCAATGGAAAATAGATTGCACGTTGAGTTGTCAAGTGTGCCCGCACCCATGATCCATCAGGGTCTACCCTAACATACCAACCTTGAAATTTATTATTTCCAACTTCATATATCCTTGGGTGTGCTTTCTATGAGGTTGTAACCTTAAACAATCCAATTTAGACGCACCACCAAATTTTATCATATCATGTAATTTTGGTATAAAAAATTCTTATGATTATATGAAAATCTATTTTCATATCTAATTAAATACTTTTAAACTCCAAAAATGGTTAAAATCATGTAGATCTATAAACATATGAAAATTCTTAAAATGGACGGTGTAGATAATATGTTGCAAGATGCACAATCTTTGGCACTCAAATTTTTTTATTTTTTCATACACTCATACATCTTGATGTCTAGATGACCAATTAGATACTTTTTCAACATTAAAACAACATTTTCCGATGGATTTTTGGGGTGCATCCTTAGTTCTACATTTTATGGTTGCAACCTTATATAAACATTTTCCTACATCTTTGATTTTATAAAAAACTATATAATTCTCAAATGAGTTCCCAAATTTGGATTTAAATATATATATCTATATATATAAAATTACCTTTATTTCTATGATAATAGTTTTTTTGAAATTTTGAATAAATTTATTTTACCATTTTGTAACTTTCTAAAAGAAACTTTTTAAATAAAAATATCATTTAAATATAAAAATTAATATTTTTAGCAAAATTTTCATATAGTTATTTCTACCAAAAAATAACGGTGATGCATTTCTTGAATTTAAGCCTAACAGTAACCACATATGTTTAGGTTGCATCCAAATGGTACCCAAATCCTAGACAATATATTTCTATGTATACAAATGCCAAAGTAAGGCTCACTTTCGTATCATATGTGTGAATTTGAACAATACTAACATTAATTGTCCATAGCATTAGAAGACTTTATTTCATACTTGATTAATGGGATTTAATTAATCCATGGACATCTAGGATTGGTTGTGCATGGATCTAGCCGCATGGGCCATTGATAGATAGAACAACGGTTTCTAACCAAATTGAGATCGCATTTGTAAGGGAATGGGCTGCCATGCTTAGTTGGTGCACGAATCCATGTGTAATGGAATTGGGCTTTTCATACAAGTAGAGTTTTGTGATGGAGGCGCGGATCACCATTGTTCGGAACGCGATCCTACAATAAATGGAGCTCGAACCTAGCCAAATAGGATCATGGTATTGTTTAGATGGGGACAACACTCAACTTTAAATGAGATCTCGTTCTTGTTGTTGACGGGTGAGCGATCCTAATTGAAATGGGAGCGCGATCCCATGTTACATGTAACGCATTCTTGTCAAATAGGGATCCCGATCCCAATGTATCAAGATCTTGCTCCCTATTCAAACAGGATCTCGCTCCCTAATCAAACAGGATCTTGTTCTGTAAATACATGGAACACGTTCCTGTTAAATGGGGATCTCGATCCTAAAGTATTGAGATCTCGCTCCCTGTTCAAACAGGATCTCGATCCATAACTTCTACCCTCACCGAAGCTCGCTCCTCGAGCTCTAGAGCTTCGGGCAGTCATCGATCTGACGCTCTTGCTCTCGGAACCGGAGCTACTC